GTATCACGCAAGGCAAGGGAAGAACCCATTTCAAATAGAAAATTGTGGAAAGAGCAAGAAATAAAGAAATTTAGAACAAAATTCAAAATCATAAAACAAAAAAAGCTTAGATTCACTGGTCTGAAAAGAGACAATAAGAATCTCAATTTGTTTCTCATTCAAGTTACCTGGTAGCTGCTCAGAGCTGGGATAAAAATGTAAAAGTAAGTGAAAAAGAGCATGTCAGATCTTAAAGAGGTGATGAAAATGTTCTATATGACTATTGTGATGATTGCACAACTTGATGAATTTATTAAAAATCAATTAATTGTATAGTTGGCAATCATACAAATAGGTCAAATGCCTTTTAAAAAAATGCTTGCAAATCAAACTGCTTCAAAAACCAACTTAATGTTACATTTATTAATGCTGAATTTTAAGCTCTCTGCATATCCTAAATTTTAAGTCATCTTTTTTTTGTTTTTATAAATGTATTTCATGTTTATAATGAAAAGACAAAAACCCTCAAACTAATATGCTTAAATAATGTAAGTTTTCTTCCTTTATCTTAAGTTAAGCACTTTGTCATGGAAGAAAAAAATTATAGTCCAAGAAAACTCACTTAAAAAATTGCTATGTTTATTTAGAAATTAATAAAAATCATGATTAATAATTCAGATATCCACATATTACATAATATGATAATTTAATCTGTCAATAAATTAAAATCAGGCAACATAATTACCAGCAATGCAATATATTAAGACCTTTCTAAAAGAGCTTTATAATTACAAAGAGATTGTTCACTAGTTTAAGGAACCTTGAACAAATAAATGGTTGCAAGACTCCACACAAAAGTAGAAAATAGGCTTCCTAGGATCCCAGAGAAATATTAAGCAGCCTTTAGGTCACCCAAAACACATGTTGTTATTATGTGCCATTGAGTAGCCTGTAACTCACAGCAACTCCACGAACAACAACCCTAAACCACGCTCTATTCTATGGCAACTGCAAAGTCTTCCACACCTACCCCATCCCCATTATGCCAGTCACTGAATCAATTCATCTCATCGAGGATCTTAATCTCCTGCACTTTCCCTCTCCAAGGCCTGGTCCCTCCTTTGCAACATGTCCAAAGTATGTCAGATGAAGCTTCAAAATCCTTGCCTCCAAGGAGCAGCCAGGCTTCACTCTCTCCAGAACGAACCTGTTTATTGTCTTAGCAGTCCATCTTCTATCATCCCTAGTCATGTCCAGCTCTCTGATGCATAGCAAGTGATTGCAAAGACCATGACCTATATCAAGCGCACCTTAGTCTCCAGACTGACATCGCTGTCAAAAACACATAGGTGCAAATACACACACCAAATACAATAGTTTTTACACTAAAAATAGCACAAATAATTTTCGTACTATCTGGGTGAGATTGTTTAGATAATATATACTATGTAATAAAATAATAATGAAAAGGCGGGATAATATGAATTACTATTAAAACTCAGGATGTACCTCAGCATGTATAAAAATAAAGTTATCTTAACCATTCAAATGACCTAGACATCCATCATAATTTGCAGAATTGGCACTGAATCAGGAAATTTCAACTGGAATTACAAATGGAGAGAGTCAAAAACTAGGACGTAAGTAACTTGAGGTTCTGCCCTAGCAATATGACTCTATGCAATTACTCTCATAGAACAGATTACTTCTGGCTACTTCTGTCCAACGTATTGGACATTTGTTTGTTGATACTGTACCCAATAATGAAAAGTATATGCAATAATCCAACAGCATTAAAATGTTCATTGTACCATTTCTTAAATTGAATCCTACAAATACAGTTCATTTGGAAAATAATCTTTAATTTATGCCTTTAAAAGAAACTATATCTACCCCCCAAAAAATATGCCTAATAATTCTGTTAACATTCTAAACATATTTCAGTTACAATACATCATCTTATTTATTTGAGGCGATTAGTTGATAAAACGAAAAGCCAGCTGTTATCAGATCAATTCTGACTGATCGTAAGTCATAAACTTTCCAAGGGCTGACACCTTTGATATAAATAGGCAAGTATCTCTTCTCCGGTCTCTAGGTGGATTGCAACCACCAACTTTATTTAAGATTAAGAGCAAAGCACTAAACCACCTGCACTTTCACTTAAAAATCTCTCTCCATTTGTGCTCAGGCTTCAAAAGAGTAAGGAGATAACGCAGCCAGAAAATGCTCATATAAAAAGTAGATTATAAATGTTAATAGGGAGGTGTGCAGTCAATACAAAGATAGGCTGTTCAAGTCTACCAGGTGCTTCAAGGAAGAAAGACGGGGAATCTCCTCTTCTGCCATTTACTGCCTCTGAAAATCCAATGGAGGGTCAGCTATGAGTCACTTCACACTCAATGGTATATAACAACCACCACCACCTTTCAATTTCTATAGTTGACAAAATCACCATCATTAGCACAAAGTATAAGGAAGAAGAGAGAAGCCTTTCCCCCCAGCAAGAACATAAATAGCTATTAACAATTTTTACATTGCTATGATAGCTCAAACCTAGAGTTGCTATAATCAAGGATGTTTTAGGCAGAATATTAAATGATCCAGGAGGTATTAAAAGAAGATGGAAGGAATATACTGAGTCACTGTATCAAAAGGAATTGGCAGACACAGAAGAATTTAATGAAATAACATTTGAGCAAGAGCCTATGGTGATGAAGGAAGAAGTTCAAGCTGCTTTGAAGGAAACAGCAAAAAATAAGGCCCCAGGAATAGACGGTATACCAATTGAAGTATTTCAGCTAACCTGCTGCCCTGGATGTGCTCACCAAGTTGTGCCAAGAAATCTGGAGAATAACAATTTGGCCAACTGACTGGAAAGAGATCTATATTTGTTCCCACTGCAAAGAAGGGTGACACAACAGAATGTGGAAACATTAGAAGAGTATCATTGATTTCACATACAAGCAAGATTCTACTGAGGTTTATCCAAAAACGACTGGAACAGCACATCAGCAGAGAACTGAAAGAAATCCAGGTTCGGTTTAGAAGAGCTCGTGGTACTACAGATATTGGAGCTGATGTAGATGGATCTTAGCTGAAAGCAGGAAATACCAGAAGAATGACTATCTGTGTTTCATTGATTATGCAAAGGCGTTTGATTGTGTGGATCATAACAAACTATGGCTGACTCTGAGAAGAATGGGAATCCCAGAACATTTAATCGTGCTAATGCGAAACCTATACTTAGACCAAAAGGCAGTCGTCAGAAGAGAGTAGGGTAACACTGCATGGTTCAAAATTGGGAAGGGTGTACGCCAGGGATGTGTCTTATCTCCATATCTCCATACCTTTTCAACCTGTATGCAGAACAGATTATCCGGGAGGCCGGGTTCTATGAGGAGAAGTGTGGCATCAGGATTGGTGGAAGATCTATTAACAATCTGCGTTGTGCAGATGACACAACCCTGCTTGCTGAAATTGAGGAGGACCTCATGCACTTGCTGCAGAGGGTCAAGGACTGCAGCCTTTAGTATGGCCTGAGGCTCAATGTCAAGAAGAAAAAGATTCTCACCACTGGACCAATTGGTAGCATCAGGATGGATGGCGAAGAGACTGAGATTGTTCACAGCTTCAGTTTGCTCGGCTCCACAGTAAACACTCTTGG